CGCGTCCGCGGACAGACGGTTCTGAGAGAGAAATGCAATGTTTATCGACAACGTCGAGAGACTCTTATTATATTTTGACGCGCGAGAGACCGAGCTTAGTCAAGTGAAAATGACGTTAATTAATAATATCGACGGGATAGATAAAAGAATTTCTCTTTCCGATTATAGCGACGATTTTAAAAAAGGGTAATTAAAATCATTTTTTTCTCATTATGGTAAAAAAGAAAGAAAAAGAAGGAAGAAAAAACACGTCACGGTTGACGTTCGATCTTGTTTTAAAGCTTTCCCCACAGCAATTCTTTAGCAACGTCCAATTTTATCAAATTAGAGACCACTTTGAGAACGAAGACGCGACCTCCGGCCACGAGTTTCTGTTTGACTTCTATTTAAACCTCCAGAGAGTTCGTCCACCCTTTGGCCATTACCGTGGCCGCAGTGTATCCTTTTAATAATCCACCGTGTATAGTTTCACTGTTGATACTGGCACGATTTCGCAGTTAACGATAAATATCTGATACGCCGCGATGGAGAACAGCGTCGCTGAATATTTCGCGTAACGCTTATTCACCGAATAATAAGCTTATTCGCCGAAACGAATGCTTTCTGGCTGAATAATTGGACTGACCTACTTCAAAGGGCTCGCTAATTACGTAAAGATATTATCTTATTCGCGCGGAACCAAGTAAATACAACCACTACGGCTCATCTCCTTCAATCTCGGAACGGTTTACTTTTCGGTTCAGGATTTTGATCCTCTTGTACTACGTGTTCTTTACTTTAGAAACACTTGCATAATGTTCTCGGAAGGTTATCGATATTTACAGCATATGGATTTCCACTAAACTCAACTCGGAAATTTGAACGAATCTGAATAATTCGAATGCCGGGCCGCGTACTCTGATTATTTGAAAAATCTTGACAAGATTGGATCCATATGAATAATTTAAGCGGTTTCAAAGCTCGACCGGCTCGCTTCTGCTGAAGCTACTCGAATTAAAACAATCAGTCGAGTCCCTTTGTAGTATATTTGAACAGTACGAAGTTGTAATATACGAAATATGTCTACGCAATATATATTCGATTAATTTAACTCTTTTGCAGTATAGCACGAGAATGAGTGAGATTAAATTTCACTTTTTTTTTAAATTATTATAGATACCGAATGTATTACAATTTGTTTCTTACGAAAGAACTTTCGAAGGTATGTATTTGGTATATTGATATCAAAACTGTAAGAGAGACCTTGGCTATGCAGAAATAATTATTTTCTAAGGCGTTCGCTGTCAATTCGCCAATTTTATTTTATTATACGTACCTGCGAGAAAAAAAGATTTCTTAGAGTAACGAAACGAATCAACATGCTGCTGTGCCTGAAGAATGAAAAATCATTATCTATAACACCAATAAGCATTTTTGTTATCGCTTGAAATCTTCCAATTGTTACAAAATCGATCAAGCATATCGGTGAATTTATGTTATTCGTTTGATCTCGAATAATCTGAATATAAGCAAATTTCCAATCACACGGACCAATCATTCAAATATGAAATTACCCCGTACTTATTCGAATATTCAAAGTATTAGCGCGATAATCGAGTGTCGTTCAGTTTGAATTTCAAATATCTAGACAGCTCTATAACAGCGTTCGCTTTCCACCCCTGTCATACGTTCCTACGGATAGAGTATCATGCTACATGAAACCTGTACGACGAAAAAGGAGTATCAATTTCATTTAATTAAACTCATTTAAACGTAAATGCGTTCCCGTTCGCGCGGCCGTCCGGGATTCTATTTGAGCACCATAATCAAAGGAGTTAATTGACTTCGCCGCGAAGCCAGTAACTTCTCGTCTTCTTCCGACTTCGAATCGTATCGACAGGATATCGATCCTTTTATTCCCTTCGAACGGAATAAATCAGAAAAGTGTATTACGTTCTGACGCATGATAGCCCTAGGCCCCAGAATTCGTAAACCCTATGGGTCACTCCATAAATCAACCCCTTCGAGTATGCCAAACCATCACCCTCTACAATAAAACTCATTTCTTGCGAATCAATATTTCATCCGCTGCTCAAATCCTTTAATTCAATGATCGAACAGCTTTCTGGGAAAAGCATACGTAAGACAAAATAACGAATTGCGTTCAGATTGCGACTTTTAACATGCGTATACGTTACACTTAATTCAGTAGAATCAAAGCAATATGAGAAAAATAAATGACAAGTTCTCGGTAAAAGTAAGCAATCGTGTTAACAAAGATAGTTGCATATTTTCATTAATTGCAGAAACAATCGTTTTGATTAGTTTAGCCAGAACACGTTTAAATCGATAATTTCTATATTTTATATTTACATTTTTACATTTTACATTTGTATTGATAATTCTGTATGTACCAAGGAAATAAAAATTCTATAATAATTCGACCATTTGATTAAAAAATACGCTCCGCTCCTGTGTATATTTACCATTGACCCATAGATTCCTTTTTCAGGAAGCTTTTCAATTATTTCCCTCGTTGATTCTAAATTGATCAATCACGTTACACTATGACGCACGTATATATAAATACTTCGCTAAGTCAATAAGAGTTAGATTTTGTACTAAATTCAACTTCGACTTTATCTCGATTAAACTGCAATCCTATTTTGTGTGTCAACGTTGAAACAGCGAACAAAGCTGGTCTTAAGGAATACATACTAGCACAAACCGCGCACAATATCAATCAGTTTCGACGAAACTCTGCTACATCCGAGTGTAACAATGACAACGGGTCAGTCGGTCGAACTTACAACTTGTCATCAGCAACGTTCATCCAGTGTTTTCGAAGATAGTTAACTAGGCAAGAAGTTCGTCGGTTACTGACGTTTCCGGTCGTTTCGGATTTTATAGAACTAGAGGTTGTAACCAAGGCTCAAACGTTGGCTGATTTCCACCATTTAAGCCTCTCTTCTTCCTCGCAAAATTAGTTAACGCCTCTGAAAAACATGACCAGGAGTATTGCCTTTCGAAACGAACTTGGAAAACAAGCTTGTATCGGTTCACCCGTACAGAAGCTATAAAAGGAACGAGTTCTGACGCAAGACGTTAATCAACTCACTGGTGAAGGATTTGCTGTCATTCATCTTGTTTATCGTCTATTGGTGAAAATCCATTGCCGATATATGTATGTATAACGTAATCGATAGGAGAATACGAAGATGAATAAGCGTGAAATATAGCAACTGTAAAATATAATATAAAGATATCGATGGAACTAAATGCAAAATAAAATGGAATAAAAGAGTTTTGATGTATCGTTTCGATATATTGATGTTTTGAAAAAAAAAGAAGAAAAAGAAGATAATTGATCTATGGGGAACGAGTTTAGGGAGATTCTGTTGCATAAAGATAAATATTATACGAAATAAAAATACGAGTGTCGATATGATCTCATTTGGATACATATCGGCCTGTTTCCCAACCGTCTTCCTAGTTATACATAAATATTGATTTTCTCGAGCAATCGAGAACGTTCAATGCGGCCGTATGTAACCTCGAAAGGTCCTTGACATTTTTACGTGCTTCAAGAATATAGATACTAATTGCGGCGAGCGAAAGTATTGTTACAGATATGGTAGGATCGCTCATGAAAAAGTCAACGCATGATATAATCTATCCATATTGTTTCATTTATGTATATGTCATAGCCTAATATCTTCAACAAAGATACATGAATCGTACGTATAAGAAATATAGGAATGAAATGTTGATGGGAAATAAATGATTGATTGAAATAAGACCGTGTTCACTATGTAATTATCGTAGCGATTAGCGATTACTTTTTAATAATTTCGATATTGCGAGTAAGATGAAATTATGTGGAATAACGCTTGAAATGTATTCTGGATGAAATTATGAATTTTAATATCTTTAAATGAATTTCTCCCTTAATAAAGAGTTTTACCAGTACGCGCCATAACGTTCGCTTTTGTTTTAACGAATTATTACGAGGTAATTAATTAAATTCAATAATACGTTTTCTGTTACTTTCCGCCTATTTTTCAAACTTCTTCCTAGATTGACATTACGCTTTCAAATACTCAGACGATTAATTACAGTGGATAAACTTTCCTACGAAAATTATGAAAATCGACATCTTCGAAAAATACATTGTTTTAAGTTTCGAATCTGTTGCGAATAAAATAAACGAACTTCTAAATTTCATAGTAAACGAAAAATGAAATACGAATGAATTACACTGATTCAGCTTTAATATGTCTGACTACCACTTATGAAAGTATCTGCGGACATTAAATACGAAGTATTAAATATGAAAATTATAAAACAGCTTTAATACATTTACTCTTTTCATTTACTCTGAATACTAATGTAATATCCACGACATTAATACCGATTAAATTAAGCTAAAGATTAATACGATATCAAGCAACGCCGACGAGTCATCAATCATGGTCAGGAGGCAGGTCCGTACTGCAAAGGTTTAAATTGTGAACGTCGATCGGTCATTTATTTTCCACTGCTCTAATGTTATAAAAACTATTCCGATACGACCGAATTGTAATTCGTTCAGTGCACAAACATATCTGGCGAAGGACTGGGATCTGAACGGAACAGATTCGATGTCTTCGCCACATCGATCGCCGTACCACGACAGAATACATATACACGATGTCGAGGTATTAAATCTCCATTGTCGACGCGCCGTCGATACTTCTGAATTACGCTCGACTGGCTGTTCGCACGTCACCATTTGCAAAGCATAAATTCGCTTTGATTCGCGGACGATTCACGACACGTCGAGCACATCCGGAAACCGCTGTGTGCTTTCACCCTTTTCCACGCCACGTTCCACTCTCGCCAGACGCACCGAGAGCCACGGCCAATCACGAGGGACAGAGCAATTTGTTCAGCAAATTAGGTTAAATCTGAATCTTGGTGGTCTCGTTTCCCCGCGGCCTCTTGCCATCGATTATCCACGCACACACGCGCCTCTCCTGCCGGAAGAAGGGGACACAAAGGATGAAACGGGAACGCCGCGTGTCCAACCGAACGGAAAGTGGAGAAAAATTGCGGGCAAATTACTTTGAGTATATGTTACAAATGGTGCGGTAATAGGTCGGATTTTTATGTAAGAAGCTCATTTGGCAAATCGAGTAACCTCGTAAAAAGTGGAGAAAATTGATGAAATTATATAAGATAAGCGTGGAAGCTTTGCGATTGATAAGGTATTGCGCCGGTTGTCTAAATATCGTAATTATACGTAAATACAATATTTTCCTTTGATCTGAGTTTCATATTAAATTTTTTAATCGAGCGTGGTGTGTTTTTTCAGCAATTAAGAAGAGTAATTATTATGCGAATTTTAATATATAGGAATTGCTATTAAAGGGAACCATGAAGCCTGCTTGGGAACCAGAGAGTAATTTACGACTGAAATATCCAAGGTAAATATTAAACGCAGAACAGTTAATAGGAATCGCGGATATGAGCTCATGTACGAAAAACAGAGAATAAAATCGTATCAAATTCATACAAATTAAATGTAGTATATAAATTTATACGACGTAAGTACATAATAACGAAATATGGAAGCACCGTTATTTTCATGCATAACATAATTCGGCGTATTTTAATCATCAGCGACGTTAAAAGTCTGTTTATATTTCGAAATTGTTTAATATCCAAATAAATTAACTGATTAATTATCCAGACGTTTAATTAAATGATTTATCGTTATTATATGACAACGCGTTATTGACGGCAAAAAATGGATTGTACGGAATGATGCTGCAGGTTAATAACGTCTGTCAATATCGATAAACGGGTAAAAATGGATTTAGCCGTATTTTCTTCTTTATTTTATAAAAACGTTTAAATGTTTATGTATGTATATGTAATCTTGATAATACAAACTCTACATTGTATCATGAAAGAAGCTGTCGTAAAATAAACGATCACCCTGAACAATTTAGAACCATCTTTCCTAACATGAGATTATATAGATCCCTCTTTCTCTTTTTCAAGACGTATCTAAATAATTGATAATCAAAATTTCGACTCATTTGTAGAAATATTGCATGTACGCTGATGCCCCTCGAGTCTTAAATAAATTATCTATAGCGGCAAACTACTGCAAAGCTTGTAGCATTTTCTTAACATTAAAATTTCCAATTTTCTCTGTTTACAAATCCTCTATGTACATAGATGTTTTTCACATTCTAAATAGTTTACTTGCAGCAGCATAATTGTCCCTAATTTCTAATCTGCTCCGGTATTTCGTAATCTCCAATTTTCCTCTCTTGATAGTCCCTAATTTCAAAGCTCTCTTTGCCTGGTATATATTTCGTAACCTCCAATTTTCTCTTCTCAACAATATCGCTCCGTTTCAACCCTCGTATTATTGTTTCCCTTGCACATTTTCGCACCGGTGTTATCTCGATCCTTTTCAACACGTATATGCTTCTCGTCAGAAATCCATATTCCATGATCAACCTTAAGTCAAGCCACGGAGACGAGAAAAAAAGGCAATGTCATCGGCGAAGGAACTGAAAACCGTTGTCATCGGTCGGCGAGCAAAAAGGATCATCGTCTTCGTACGTGGCTTCGAAGAAAAGAAGCATACGTGGACGCAAGGGAAGAAACGGTGCACGTACTCGGGATAGAAGAAGTGGTGTCGGCCATTTATCGGCAGGATTTACTGTTCTACGTCCCTCCTCTCTACCGATTGTCCGTGAATTCGAACGGTTATATCACTGGAATTTCATTTCTGTCCGACTGCGGGACATTACCGTCCGTTTGCTCTGTCCCACGAGTTGTGAGAGATTTTCCTGTCCGCCACCCTCATAATTTCCCCTCTCCGCCGTCTCTGCCATCCTTCAAGGACCACCGGGATACCTCAAAACGACGTACTTAGTAGCCGGCGAAAGAACAACCGTATATATTTGCGAAAGAACAACCGTATATATTTGCGGAAAAATGCAAATCATCCTCGATATGAACGAAATCAATCATCACGGTTTGATTTAAATTTTCCATCGCCGAGTAACTAACAGGATGTTGCGAGTTTTAAGCAAACTAAACACTGTTCTGTGCTAACTAGGCGAGTTTTTATAGACGATAGTATCGAGGGACGAATGGTTTTTTTGAACCGTTCAACTTGGACTTTAAGCGACGAAGTTTTATTCCTTGTTGGTATAATCGCGGAATCGACGGCAGTTCCTTAGTTTTATTAATGCTGCGAGCAGCTTTGTTAAAACTTGAGAGCGGACGGGCTCTTTGTAGAGTACACCGAGTGTAACGGAGAGATTACCCTGACACGGTTGCGTTAAAAATCATATCGAAATTTTTCATTCTTTACCGTTTTAATTCGAAAGTATAAGCGTTGGCAAAAAGATATTTGCGTTACATAAATAACGATAGATAATTATTACGCATTTAATTCCGTTGACATTTTTTTCAAATTTTTTTTTTTTAATTGTACAAGTTCGACTTCTGGAATTATTCGAATACGATGTTCCTAACAAAATTCTGGTTACCTAATTCACTTTTCCGACTCGCAGATGCCCAACTTCCCCATACCATGAGTTCAATACAGCATCAAGCCGCGGAGGTCTAGCCAGTTTGCCTATCATAGCGGATAATTAATCCGGCAAATCATTGGCCAATTGCAATTGCCAATGCGACCACGTTAATTAACGATCTACGGTTAATGGATGGACTACAAGCAAGTGCATTGCGTAAAACGTTGATTTGCCAAACATTTTCGGCAAGAATTATTCCATTGACAATTATCACGTGCATGGAAGCTCGTGCATGTACGAGCACGAACGGGATCTGCTATTTTCATGAGAGAGGTCAACGCCGAAGCCACGTACCAGTAATAACATTGCAGTCTATGACGATGCTTATTACGAACCCGATATAGTGCACACGAAGTCAGATACTGCAGAAGTAAAACTAGACGTTCTGGTAAAAATGTCTCATACAACAAAGAAAAAAGAAACTATCGTAATTAGGATCATAAAGGATAACAGGAGCTGTAGCAATCGGTTTCATTCTCTTGCCCACCTTTTACCTATTTTTTTCTAACGCTCACGAAAATTAACACGGACCTCCTGTATCGTGCAAATCCTTTGTTACTTTCAAGATTAAGAACCGTTACATGCGCTTTCATTCGCAGATTTTCAAGTCGAACTTAACATGTTTATATACGTATAAATATATCTATGTGAAATATAAAAATATATAAAATAGCCCAGGAAAATGTGATCCAATTACTTTTATGAACGGAAGCTTGACATTAACACGGACAACAGCTACGAGATTTATCTGAATTTCATCTGGATGAAAGTCTAGGAAGTCGCTGACCTTAACTTTGAGATGTTAACGTACGGCTTCTAACAGACTCAAGGTTCCATTGATATCAAAGTTTTATACATAGAACCCAATAACTATGCGGTGCACGTGTACGGATTTAAAAGATTGCTTATATTCTTATAACTTCAGTGTTCTGGTGTAACAATCTAATATATAGTTCCAAGAACCTTAACAAAAATCTTTTTTAAATTCTAATTTTTCAATTTTATAACAACAAGATGATCTTCCTTAATAAATGCTTTTCTTCGATTTATTAAAAGAAAGAAAATAATATGAAATTTAATCTCCGTTGAAACTGCATCTTTTTACCGTAAAGTTTGCTGTCTTTTTTTCAGGAGAAAAATATCGAGTGAAACATTTGCGAGGATTAGACGAAAACGTGACATTAGGTATAAGGTAGATACTTATTATTTACTGTCAGGTATACTGTACATAATATTTCTTTTGCCTTACAAATATTATATAAAATTACAGTCGATCACGGAGAGTAACCTCGCACACAGTCTCACGGGCACACTGATATACCCACACGCACGGTAGGCGACACGTACACGCGCACACATGCACACTACACGCGAAATACTCTAGCTCACATACCAAGTAGACGTTATTACAGATTCGCGGATCAACTCGCCAAACCTTCCTCCTAAATTTACGTACAGATACGTGCACGTTATAGCTAACTTGCCTTATAATATCAGAACACGTGCATCCCTCGCGTCCTCCCGCGATCTCTTTCCCTCGTTGGTTCACGCGTTTTCACTCCCCTTCGATCAAATTTTGCCTCGTGTTATCGTTGTTTGCTAAATGACAAAATTTGGAAACAGATATTTTTGCACAATTTGTACCGCGGTTTCTCCTTATCGAAACACAATGAGAATAATCGTATTAAAATCATTTACAAGCAAAAGAGTCTGAAAATAGAGAATCAAGTTACATGTAATGCGCGCCACGTTAAATTTGAATTTCGATCGTTGATTCTTAATTTGTTCCTTATCTCGGTTTTTCAGGCCAAAAACAACCAGAAAGAGTTTAGGTCACACATCGCCCGATACCTCTAGTTTCACGAAAGACAGCCTAACGGAAGAGAAAAAGAAGAAAAAAAAAAAAGAAAAAAGGAAACTCGTGGAAAATTACGTTTTCTAGTAAATCCGAACCGTATAGAGAGAAGAACAAGTGCTATCCACTCGGCAGACACGTAACATAACCGTTCTATCGCATTCCCGGCGAATACTACGTGGGACAACCGGAACAAAGAGACAGAAAGAACCAAGGCACGGGTAAAAGGTAGGAAAAAAGCGAAAGAAACACGTTCGTTGTCCCTCTCAACGAGTGGTACTATCGTCGTCGTGAGTTAACGGCGAAAAAAGACTGGTATTTCAAGCGTGTACGAGACGCGCTCAGGACTCTCTTTCGCGTTTATTGCCAGCTTCTATGGGTTGTGCTCGATGGAAGGAAAGAACGAGAGGGACGATAGAAGGTGGAACAAGATGTCGCGCGTTACGTGCATCACCGTGTTTCGATCGTTCGTTGCGTTCTTCGTCTCCGTGGCAGCGGCGGCGGCTGCTATTTGGCTCGTTTCACGGTGCTTCGTTCGCTAATCCCTGCTCTGATTAGGACGCGAAAACACGCGATCGGACGTAAACAAGAGGAAAAAGAAGTCTATTCTCCTCGATAGAGATTTCTTCGATGGTCTGTAAAAAGAACCGGATGGACGCAATGAAAGGAAAGCCGGAAACTCGCGGGATCAAAGAGGAGAGCGCTGTTTCGTGGATCGTCGCGCAATTATCCGCACGCGCTCCCAGAGAAACGTTCCTTCTTGGTACACGCTCGAAGGTTCCCATTGAATCTATCGAAACTGTCGTACGATCGTCCTGGTTCCATGTGTCCGGAACGACCGTTATGGGTGCAAGTTTTTCGCTTCGGGACCGGAAACTTGCGCCATAGAGAGACCCGTTACGAGTTACATCGAGGGAAGTTCGAGTTGCGAGAAGAAACGTGGTTACGTCTACAAGACGCGCATTCCGATTCGTAGTGCCACAGTCGTAACGGAGAGTTCTGCGATACGCGTTATCCGTCCTTAAGGTCGAGTGGCTTTCCTCGTGGCGGATTTCCGCTCTTCGCGTATTCGTCTCTCTGACAGTACCGACTGATCGTTTCCCTGGAAGTCTTGCGTGATTCTGTAAACTCAATCCGACCTTATCTTCGACACCCACCCAAGCACACACGCGCGTTTAGTACGCGCGACGCATCGCACCCTTGCAACACACGCAGCCAGGCAACGACACAAACAGATAGCGGAAGGATGAACGCGCGAAAGAAGGTCTGAACGCAGCGCTACGATACGCTACCTATGGAAAATCGCGACGGTGGCCGCGTTTTTGGCCACGCTGGATGGACGTACAGGAGGATAAAGGGAATCGAAAGGACTGAGAAAAGTACGCGCTGAATGAAAGCGAGTGGAAAGAGAAAGGTGAGCGTGGCAGGATCGTGAAATCGCTGAGAAAATCGTTCCGTTTCGTGAAAATTCACCGATGGAAAAGAACGGAGATTTTCAACGGATTTCGTGATCTACGCGAACGAAGAGAAAAAAGATTGAAGCTATACCGATCGCCGTAAATTTCTCCGTTCTCTTCGATCCTTTTTATACAGATATACATACATATATATGTGTGTGTGTATATATATATATATGCGTGTGTGTATATACGCGCAGTTTATTCGGTTTTCGAAGCGTTTTTGGAAAACGCGCGATCTTGTACCAACACATGCATGCGACGATGTATCGACTCGCGATGTTCGAACCGAGCGACGTAGGAACGAGCCGCTTATAGAAATTCTTTTTTACGCACACCTACACAATTTTTGCACACGTCTTCTACGTACATATATATATATATATATATATATATATATATATATATATACATATATTTATATATGTATATGTATATCGTCCTTCGTCTGCGACACATCATCATGCCTATTCTCTTTAACTCATTCTGCGTTTATCACACGTACACGCTCACTATTTTGTTGGAAGAAAAATAACAGGTCTGTATATTATACATATATATGTACACACACACATATAATATATGTATATATATGTATAAATACAATGAACGGAGTACCCAAGTACGTCGTACAAACATCTTCCTTCGTAAAAGGGCGCGAACCGGCGCATCCGACGCCAACACATTCTTCTTCTATCTAGGCAACGATCTGCTAAAACGAAAGATCAGAATTCGATACATCGAACGATCGACTAACTTCCTCTTAACAGAAAGGGAGATAACAGGGAGGAAGAGAGGGAGAGAGAGAAAAAGCACGACGAAATTGGATACTCCGATCGCGCGATCGTGATCTTAGATTTTACGCCAAGCACAAATGGAAAGAACCTTTCAATATCCAGACGTTTCGGTGTATAATCGTTGAACATTGGATGATTCCGTTCCATCGTTTCCCCCTCAGCCCTCGATCGATACCAGATACCTCGAATTTCGCAGTTTCGACAACCCTCGTCGACTTTCCTCGACCACCTTCCACGGCGTCGTTCGCAGTGTATTTCGTGCATTTTCCATTCTCACGCACGATGCTTGTAAAACGAAAAAACCGACCGCGTGTATACTGCAGGTACTTGGCGCGAAAGTACGCCCTCACGTTGGCGACGATCGT